ATGTGAGCCTTTACTTGGGATAATGGGACAGAGTAAAATTTAAAAAGTGGGAGAATCTTAAAATATATTAAAAAGTAAAAGATAATAGGTTTTAATGTTTGATTTCTTATACTTGTTAACATTAAAATTTTAGGAGCTCAACCTTCCAAACATAGTCATTCATAGACTGAGGTCCAGGTTGACCTTAATGGATCACTGATTGTTTAGATATTTTCTTTTAATCAATACATAAATTCTTTATAACTCAAATAAATCACTTCTAAATTCAAGGTACTCTGCAATCTTGATTTCTTCATAAAAATGATTATATAATATGATGGTTGCATTCTATAGCTTTTCAGTTTTTACTTTTGATAATATTGCTAAAGCCTTCATATTTATTTTTAAATGATAAATTACTGGGATTTGGGGACATAAAGTAATATTTTAAAATAGGATTTATCTCCTTAAAGCAAATCTTGGAGGGGATATACGGGAAAAATACAGTATTACTAGAAAAATGTCTATCTTAGTACTAACCCAATGTACAAAGCCATGTCAAATCTTCCAGTATTTCAATGTCATATCCTCCCATAGAACCAACTATGGGATTTTTCACTCAGCAAAAGATGAGAACTGTGTTAACTGGTACATTTTGTTCCTAAGTATTTAAAGAAGATTAGTCAGAAATATAAAATTAGATTGATATTATCCAGGAATCTATTTGTTTAACATGCTAAATGCTATCCAAAAAATGAATAATCAAGAGTATTTTAATAGACTATGTCTAGCTGTGAGGCAACAACAGGTAAGTCAAAAACATGTTCTGGATGGCAACCTTTTCCATTTGTCATAAGCACAAATGGAAAGCAGGATCGCATCCAGCTTTACTCAGAGGGAAAAACTCCACAAGGCAGTATTTCTTTGATTTATTTTTTTTGCCAAATATGAACTCCTTTCTTCTGAAAGATATAGTCTATGAAAAAGAAATTAGGAACCTAGAGCTTGAGTGGAATGCTGGAAAAAGTACAATAAATAATGCTGTTATACAGAATAGAGACCTAAATACAGTAAGCAGCTTTGAAATAGGCTTTAAATATGTAATAATTACCTGCTAAACTACGGCCCACACAGCAGTTCTGTTTTTTCCATCTTTTGTGTGTCTACTGAATACCCATAAATGAAAGATTTCTTAAATTTACTTTTCACATTTCTTATTTAATTAAACAAATGCAGTTTTATAAGGGACAACTGGTCACATAATTTTTCTCTTAAAAAGGACAGACATCATCATTTTGAGGAAACGTTGACTACTTTTTCCCTAAAGTTAATTAACCACTTCTCAATAAGAGTTTGTTTCTTACATGCTACCCTTGTACCCTCACATTCCGTGTTTAAATTTTGTAAGCTCCACTTACTGCCTGTCTTAGTGTATTTTCTGCTGCTATAACAGAATACCACAGACTGGATAATTTATAATGAAAATTTATTTGTCTCATGGTTCTGGAGCTGGGAAACACAAGAGTGTGGTTTGGTCATCTGACAAGTTTCTTACCATGGCTGAAGGACATCATATGACCAGAGAGCATGCTCAAGACAGGGCAAGAGCACATAAAAGACAGAGACAAAGGGGCCACTATTGCAGCCACTCCTGCAATAGCTAACCCATCCCCATTATAATGGCATTAACTTATTATAAGGTCCAGGCCCTCATGAACTAATCACCTCCTAAAGGTCCTGCTCTAATACTGTTACAGTGGTAATTAGGTTTCCAACACATGACCTTTTGGGGGACACATTCAACTCACAGCACTGCCAAATTACATTACAATAAATCTTTCTTGTTGTAATACACATAAACATGTATGCATATATACATACATATGTATAACAAAAGTAGACAACCACAAATAAACAACTTTTGTCATCATTCAGAATAAGGAAAGTTTCTTGTACCAAAATATATTCTCCTTTGGGTCAGCACATCTTCTTATTCAATCTCAAGGGTTGAACTCTTCATATACTGATGGAAAAATAAACACAGCATTCACTTATTTATACTTATTTAACAGTTGATATATGGCAATTTTTTCACAGAAGCTTGAGCAGATAATCAATTAACTCTTGTTAAAGAGATTTAGATCTAAAGAGGAAATGAAGCATACTACTAAGTTAGGAGCTAAATCCCCAAAAAGGTGATATGTGAAGATTTTTCATCTGTTTTAATTTTTTTTCATTTTGCTTGATTTCCATTAATATTTCCATTAATATTGCTTGTGATATTAAGAAGATAGTCACCATCTCTTAGAAGACTAGCTTCATATAGTCAGTATAGAGTTAAATGTATGGGACTAAGTTTTCCCTTGTTAATACAAGTTGGTGTTTTTACTTTTTTTCCCTACAGCGAATACTTTGGTAGTTGTGTTTGATGTTGTTTGGGAAGTGAGCACATTTGCCAAATGAGCGAGCCTAGAGTGGGATTATAGAGCTACTAGTGACTGTCCTGGTCTTTACTGCCATTGTCAAACAACGAATTGAATCAAACAGATGGTCACTTTAGGCAAATAGACTAATTTTCTTTACTTTGTCCTGCCTTTTCTACATGTTCTGTACATTCAGCTATGTACCATCTTTATTCTGAAATAATAGTTCACCTTTCTGATCCTCATAAATGTTTAGTATTTATCTGAAAACAGAAGTTTCTGTGATCACTACTTAATACTTGTCTAGTACCTAACTTGTCCCATGTCTGAAAATCATATATTATGCAATTGCAATCGAGTAATTAAACAATCTGACTTTCATATGGAATTTATGAAATTAGCACCATTGCTTTACATACTCTACAAAACTGGCTTTCTTAAAAGCAGTGCTAGGATGCTAAAGTGACTAAGAACTCAGCAGCCAGAGGAGCTAAGATTTAAATACCAGTACTTTCATTTACTACCTTTTCCATCCCTCTTTTACTTAAGTTTTCCAGATCTTAGTTTCCTCATCTGTAAAGTAAAGTCTTCTGCTGCACATCAGAGTTGTTGATGGTATTAAATGAAACAAGGTGAATAAAAAAGCAAAATTTCCTCTCCTACCCATTGAGAACCACGAGCCTAGTTCTAGAGGACCCCAGTGCTTAATAAATATCAGCTATAGTTACTGCTGAATAGTTAAAAAAAAAAAAAAAAGATTGCTACTTTTGAAACGCTAATTGGTAAATTCTTACAATAAATACGTTTTTTCACAAAAGTTATTTGACTCTCTCTGTGGACTGAGATTTTTGGAAGTGATGATTAATTTCTTTAAGCCCAGAGTTAATGATATAATTCCTTCCTTTGCATCTAGAGAGATCCAAATTAAATGTTTCTGAGTCTTTCAATATTTTATTTAAATTTTTATTTTATCTGAAAATTTCCAAACCTATTTCTAAGGTGAAAGACTCATAATGATCATCCATCAGCAAGATTTAACCAATTGTTAACATTTTGCTACATTTATTTTGTTTCTTTAGAATGAATTTATACAGCCAACAGTAGAGGATGGGAATAGTTTGTATAAATAGCTCAGACCTGATAGTCTACTATCGTAGACTATTCTTTTCACTCTCCTTTCCAATACCACTTATTTTAGTTATGGTCTCCACGTCTACGAGAGTACACAGATAATTAAGTTGTGTGCAAATCTGGATTTTTGCATCAAAATTGAAAACATCTAAAGCATGCACATCTGATTTTTTTTTACATCCTTCACATGCATAATATCTGTTCTGAGATGAATTTCTGGCTAGATGATATTGATAGTCAATGATTTAACATATCACCTATTTTGAGGATTCTCATTTTAATTCTTGTATTTCTGTTTCTGAGTCATAGTGAATTCTCTGATCACATTTGGCCTATCTGAATAAAAATGACAAATCAATAGATTTAAAATGTCTTCTTTTAGTTGACAATTTACCCAGCATTTTAAAAATAAGGCTATAAACTTTTCTAGAAAGAGTAAATTTTATTTGAAATTCTAATAGTTTTTCAGTTACTGCTGCATGACGAATATGCCAGACTTTAATTCTCAGTCATTAAAATCTAATTAATGAAAAAGTACCTATTACTGGAATCACAGTACATTTTGTTCATTACCGGACTTTTTCTCAGAACTTCTAAAAGTATATCTGAAAATTAATACAGAGAAATATATAAATGTTTGTACAGGTTAGGAAGTTTTCATTTTCTCAATTGATTATTTAACAAGTTCGAGAAACTAGAAGCACAAAGAAAACTCTCACTATTTAAAATTATTTAACCCCCAAGCACCAGATTTCTTATATCTTATTTGCCTGATAGGACCCTAGAATCTCTTGAAAGAATAATTCGCATTTGTGATGTGCAATCTACTGTTTACATTTAACCAGAAATTATAATTATAAAACAATTTAAATCTGCATCTGAACAGTTTTATGACTGTTAAGTCTGCTATCCACCATACTTATTTCCTCTACCCCATCCCAGTTCATCTTTTCAGTAAAAGTGCTCATAAAATCTCAATGACTAAAATGGTTTATAGTAGTTTTATAGTCACTTTATTTCCAGGTAGTAGACATATTTCATCCTGGATATATAATTTAGTCATTTTAAATGTGGGGAAAAGCAGGACAATGACCTTTAGATTTAGGTCTTAAGAACAACCTGATGGATATTTGTGTGTATGTATATATATACACATCAATTGTTAATTTTAAAATGTTGGATGTTATTTGTTTCTGGTGAAGCAGCCTTTAATGGTGAGCAGTATCGCATTCACTTTTTTTTTTCCCCAGTGGTTAAACCAAGCTCAATCTGAGCAAAGCGAGCTCCTGTACCCAATCCTGCATTCTCTTAACTGGTAATAAAGAACGTTGCTGGCCTGACAAGTTGTCACAGCAATTATTCACACGAAGTTCTGTAGCAGTTGTATCTGTCAGCCCATGTAGTATTGAATATTTTAACTGGCAGTCTTCCAAGACTGAACATTAATCTTACCATCTCCTATTACAGTCCCTAATCAAGATATTCCAGGGGTGATTGCACTAACATTGTTTGAAGACTACATCTACTGGACTGATGGGAAAACCAAGTCACTCAGCCGTGCCCATAAAACATCGGGAGCAGACAGACTCTCACTGATTAACTCATGGCATGCCATCACAGATATCCAGGTGTATCATTCTTATAGACAACCTGATGGTAATTATTCTTTCCATGATTTCCATAAATGCATCAACATCTTTCAGTAACATTCCATTTTTGATTCTTTCAAGGTTAAGTGTAATGTTATTTTTGAGAAAGATTACCAGATTTCATTATTTAGCATCATTTTATAGAAGAATCCACTTGATACCAAGTACTGCTATTAAGAGATATGATTAGATGCTTAGTAATAGCACAAAGAACTATTGATTTGTTCAAATCATATTAAGCTGAAATGACAATAATAAATGTAGTCAGGGAAGTGAAGACTACATTCTTGAAATAATTTGTTTACAAAATAGTTACAGGATTCTTAGTTTCTGGAATGCTGGGTAGAAGGATTTACGTTTAGCCCTAGGGTTCTAAAAATGACAAACATATCAAGTTTGCTTAAACATATGTCTAATAGGAATTCTACCAGGCCTTATGAAATAAAGTTTTGATCATCTTGCTAAAAACCCTATCTGGCCTATAAAGGAAAGTCACTGTACTAGTAGTTGTAGATCATTGTTTCATTGTTTTATTTTACATTTATATTTCTGAACATATGTATGTCTTCATCCAAAACGCTTCTAGTCTCTATTTTTCTGATGGACAATTTTTCCTACTAAAATGCTTATTTTTATAGAAGTGCACTCCTTAACATTATTTAATGGTAAAATCAATGTCATTGGACAACGAGTACCATTTGTGACAAAATAAAATTATATTTATAATCTTGAGTTCTTGATTACAAAGATTTATCCAAATACAAGTTATGAAGCTTTGACGTCCTATCTCTGATCCCATGTTATATTATTTGTCATGATTATCTTGTTTTGTTATTGTTTCTTCTTTCTTGTCTGTAGTCTCGAAACATCTCTGCATGATAAATAATGGTGGTTGCAGTCATTTGTGCCTTTTAGCCCCTGGAAAGACCCACACCTGTGCATGTCCCACCAACTTCTATCTTGCAGCTGATAACAGGACTTGCTTATCCAACTGCACAGCCAGTCAGGTGAGTGGAGTTCTGGAAATCATCGCATGGGATGTATCAGTAAGTTGTTATAAAAATTTTTCTTGAATTTGTTTGTGTTTGTTTGGCATGACATTGATTGATGTCATGTATTGTAGAGATGGACACAGAGTGAAGGAAAACCAATTTAAGCATATCGTTAAAATGAGACCTTAGGCATTAGGAAGTACAAACAGAGGCTAAAAAGGAAATAAAAACGAAAACCATTCTTACGCAGATCCACACAGAATAATGGTTCAAATCCTAAGTGGGCACAGCAGCAGCACCAGAGTAGATTTTGTTTGTATCGAGAAGGCCAGATGATTGAGGCATAGGGTAGACAGAGGTAGGTGGAGTTTAAACAGGGCAAGAAATCTCCCTAGCTAATTTGCTCTGTGTCACTGCCTCTACACTGTCTCATTTTTCAGAGCCAGTGATATGGAAAAGATAAATTGGATAGAGAGTAATTCTCTAGATATTATTTTATTAAAACATTATATGATCTAAATAATCTCCTTCTGAAACCTCTCTTTCTTCAAAATTTAATTATTTTCAGATAAAGATATCCCAGAAGTTAAATTTTCTACTTGATGGTAATTGCATGCACTTAATTTTGTTCCTTTCAAGTTCTGGACAACAGTCTATATGAAATTATGAAACCGGACTTTGTTACATTTGAGTCACTATCTCGTTTGATTTAAGATAAAATTGTCAAAGAAACTATGTTTTATTTTTTAAAATGACTACATTTATTTTTAGAATTCCAAGTTTTGAATTTGCTGGTTTTCTACAAACTAGCAGTGACTTCATGGCAAGGAACTGAATTTCACTTAGAGTGTGTTTATCTTCAAAATGGAGAAGCTAATATTAGTTCAGCCTGCCTCTCAGATTAGACCTATGAGTATCATACATGAAAGAATTGTATGAATGAAAGAGATCAGACCTTCTCCAGGGAGTCAGTATGTGAAGTGGTTAGGAGCATAGACTCTGAAGCCAGACTCCCTGTGATCAGAACCCTGACTCTGCTTTAAACTGGCTGGGTTATCTTGGGTTTATTACTCAACTTCTTGGTGCCTCAGTTTTCTCCTCTTTTAAATGAGATGATAATATTCCCAGGCCATTGTTTCTGGTACGTAGTAGATGCTGTTATTATTACCCTTGTCCTCTAGTGCAACTGGAATATACTTAAAAGAATATGTGTTCAATTCGTGTGAGCTGCCATCAAGAGGTTCTGATGTCTAGTTGAAAGCAAAGCCATAGATTCCACTTTCTTTACAAAGTGTGTTGTTCTAATTATAATTCCCTGAGTATTTGTGTAAAAAAAAAAAAAACTTCTTGGTGCCTCAGTTTTCTCCTCTTTTAAATGAGA